CTGGCCTCTGCATGTGCTGGGTTTGTGCTTTGTCCCAAGAAATGGCAAATAGCACAGCTGAGGTTGAAGCGTGTGCCTGATGTATTTATAGGCTTTTTAAACAAAGATGAATGAATTGGCACAGAACTGCTAGCATTGTAAAACTGCGTTTTAGAAAAACACACTTTCATTGACAAGGAAAGATAAATCAAGTTTTGTCCATTGGAAGGCAGTGGAAGTTTGTCTTAAATGTGACTCTCAGTATAAACAAATAAAACAGTAAAAAAAATTCTGAGAAAAGTCAGAATTATGACTTTAATCTCAGAATAATGACTTTTTCCTCAGAATTATTTTTTCTCAGAATTCTGAGAAAAAATAAGCTGTAGAAAAACTTGATGCTTTTCTACAGCTTATAACTACTCTGTTTACAGTCTTTGCTGGTTTTATTGGTGCACCATGTTGAAAATGGATACAAATAAACAGACAGTTTGTACTTAGCCAGTGTTACCATACCATGCATCTGCAACCCAGTGTAGAAACTGTGTGGTCAGTGCAGCTTATACTTCTCCACTGCTGCCATTTGAGCCCAGAGCTCAGTTGGCACTCTCCGCCCCTCATTTGTCTCAGAGAAGGTGACAGATAAGTAGCCAGACACCCTCTCCCCACAGCCCTGCCTTTGCCACATCTTATTAGAGAACCACCAAAGGAACTGGTCAAACAAGAATCCTCCCTCTCTTATCTTTACATCCAGATTCAGCACCATAACTAAGACAGCAGCCACTGAGGGAGGTGTGGGTGGTGGGGTTTTTTGGGGGATGTTTGGAGGGGGTTGTTTTCACAGTGCTAACAAGCTCCTCGTGGAGAAAGAGCGGTGTGAGGACAGCAGGTATAGGGAATGCAAATACAAACGGGTATAGAGAGTTGATGGGAGGCTGAATGGATGAGGAGAGAGACATGCTTAAAAAAATGGAGAAAACGATGCCAGTGCAAACATTTTGAAAAGATTCAGGGAAGGAGCTGGAGAAATGTTAGAAAGGAGTGTAAGAAAAATGACAAAATCTGCAACAAAAAAACCCAACAAAAAAAATCGTCTTAAAAATACATAAGTCTAAGGTGAGGTTGGCGATATAAATAATGCAAGAAGGGATTTGGCTCCAAAGCTTTGCCCCAGTGTGGCTAAAGTGCACACAGTTGGGGTGACAAGCCACTCCTCCACCCCATTCCCTTTTACATTTGTTAAGCGGCTTATAGAAAGGCAGGAAATCTGCTAACACAACGATTCATTGTTTCTTCTTTATCTTCATATCACCATGATTCACCTGCTGCAGTAATCAAAGCATCACACTGCGACATGTTTAATCAGGATGCTCTATCAGAGGATCCGCGGGGCACTGGGAACTGCAACTAAATGTACTTTACTTTCTTAGTGGAACATTCATATCAGACGGTGAAATATGCCCTGAACATCAGCCACAGGTCAAATGTTTCTGGGTTTTTTCATAACGTTCACAGTAAGCACACTGCACTTTATTGCTGTTGTGTAACCTAATGGAGACCGTATTTTATAAAATCAGCATCGTGTTGAATTCAGTAAGACTAATGCGGTGAAAGTGTTTTGTTGAGATCACAGACGACTAAGACAGAGTTGTTTTCCCTGGACTGTGGAAAGGTGTAACCAGTTTAGTGTACAACACATCAAAGCTACTTCAAGGTTTGACATCTTGTACATACCTTTTTTGTAATGAGTTATCTATTCTGCCCATTTTCACCCAGAGAAATGCCCTCACTGGATATTTTGTCTTTTTCAGACCACTCTCTGTAAACCTTTGAAATTGTTAAATATATGAATCCCATACAGGACAACAAAGACACAGATTTAGTGTCTGCTTTCCAGAATATCAATAAGAAGTTTTTCAGAATTATAGCTATTATTTGATTAACAAAAATAAAAGCTGGTCAACACTTAAGTTTAATGGTTCTCAGTTCTAGAATATGTGAACGCTGATTCTAGGGGAACGATGTCACAGAATTTTTTAACATTGATGGAAACACGCTGTGTCCTGGCATTACACACTGAAGGCCAGTTTGGCTCTGTCTGATTCAGCTCAGTAGGTGACATTGATTGAATGCTCATTGGTAATCACATTCATTGCCTAGCAGTGTCAGGGAAGAAGAAAACCTGATTAGCTTTTACAAGTTGATAAAAGTAAAGGCAAGCAGCCTAATGAGTCACAGTCAGGAACTGAGTTCCAGCCATCAATCCATCCTGATGCTTAACTGGGTCTGGATCGCAGGGAAGCAGTCTAAGTGGGAGCATCCTTAGTCCCTCTGCCTAACCGGTCCTCCAAGAGGGACACAAGCTGCCCAAGAAAGAAGGAAAAAGAGCGTTATCTGTCCAGCATGTGCTCTGTGTGTCCCGGAGCCACTTCTGGTAGAGAGCGATCCAGGACAGTCACCTAGAGGCTTTCTAGTCTGATGTCCAAACATTATTTTGGTCACTACCCAGATGAGGGCAGAAATGTGAAAAGCAAAAAGGTAGTGCACTACAGATCAAATACAAGGCTAATACCACAAAATACCACAAAAGGAAATGCTTTCTTCTACTTTTTCACAGTTTTTAAATCTCAGATAAACATATCTCCAGACCCGGGCAATAAAACTCATATCCAGCAGTATCTCACAGAGTCAGATACCACTGGATATATACCAGCCCTTCAAATTCAGGGTAGCAGTTGCCTCAGTGGCAGAAAAAAAGATATCTGCAAAGCTCATTCAAATAGTGCTGACCAACCAAGCTAACACGCTTGAGTGAAAGGATTTCAGATATCGCAGCATGTGTTCACATTGTTGTAGGCTGGTAGCTTTAGGAGGCTCATCTGACAAGACCTCCTTCTGTACGTCTATGAGTGGATTGTGGGCACACTGCTGGTTCAGTCCTTTCTTTGTCTGCATTGCCTGTGTGTATTTCTGCCTCAAACAAATAATAAAAAAAAATGCAACAAGCAAACTAAAAACAGATTCGAGTGTACCTGAGCTCTGCAGAAGGCGATGGATTTGTTGATGCTGTCATAAAAGAGAGCGGGAAACACCCATAACCACCAAGCCAAACTTTTCAGAGAGCTTTACAAGCAATTTTGAACTGATGTCCTCGCATTACTTGATACGCAGCTGTACATTGTGTTTTTTTATCTTGGGAGAGGATAACATGTATGAGAAAGTGTGTTTTCAGACCCCAGGCCTTTGTTCTTTTTTCGCTGACTCTTGTTTGGCTTCCCTTTCCATCTCATTAGTTGAGTTCACAGTGCTTTCCAGTGCCAGTGAGAGGATGATGATTATGCTTAGAGGAACTTTGGCTCTTCCAAGTCATGTGGGCGCTCATCTCCAGTCACTTGTAGAGCGATAACTGCGTAATTCATGTCTGGATTGTCTCACGTGCACTCTGTGAACAGCTCGGTATGAACCGGAAGCAGAATTTTATAGTTAGAAATGTGCCACAGGATGCAAAGTTAATAAGAAGCATGCAACCTGAAGAGATTCATTACTTCAATTTACCCTGGTACTTATTGTGTCATATTTCCTATTTCTTTGCTGCCTGCATCTCTCAGACCTCGTGTCCTGCTGTCATTAACATGTGGTTTTGGTGACCAAATGGAGTAAAAAAAAAATCAGTCCAAATAGAAATGAAGCCAGGATGCATTAAAGGTCTGGTCAAAATGCTAATGTGGAAGTTGATGTGCGGACAGGCCCTAAGTGTTCAATATGAGAACAAATTATTCCATCAGTAATTTGGTTTCCTCTGTAACAGCAGTCTACAACTCATTAATACTAAACAGTTTCATTTTGCACATATTCTTCAGGATTCTATTTTTATTTCCTAATGACATTTTTTGCCATTGTTGTTTTTGCAACAACCATGTTGATGCAATAACAGTATTATGGAAAAAAAGTCTCTCATTTCTTTATTCTTTCTTTGGATGATGGGAAATGGGTGCAGCTATTTACTGAAATATGTGCAACGATATATGGAAATACCGCATAGAAGGCAAAAAGAGTTTATACAATTCTAATGAGCCTAAACGTCAATATTTGGTATGACCTTCTTCATTCCTCAACACAGACTGAACTGTTTTATTAATTTACGTAGTCTTCTGGAATAGTTCTCCAGGCTTTTTGAAATACATTGAAAGTTTTCCTTCGGATGTAGATTATTCCAATCTCTGTCAAGATGATCCCACACTGCTATTGGGGTCCAGGCTCTGGGGGATGAGAGTCCATGACCGATAGTGTTTAATTTTGAGTTATTATATCCGGGTATGTTTTTACTGCACTGGCAGTATGTTTGGGATCATTGTCATGCTTAAAAACCAAAGCCTTTGCTAATCAGATACTTTCCAGATGATATTAATTGGTGGATCAAACTCTGGTAGTACTTTTATGCATTTCAATTCCATCAATTCTGATAAGATTGTCAACACTATTGGCAGAAAAACAGCCCAAACCATGACAGAGCCTCTACCGTGCTCTACAGATGTCTTTAGGCACTGTTATACCTCCCTCCTGATATCCTCTGTACATACCTGCTCCCACCGATTTTCAGTGCAGTTCTTGTGTAGTTTGGCATACCTCAGCATTTTCTGTTTCCCTTTCTTAAGAGAATAGTCACTAACAGCATTTCTGATGCAGCACCCCTAGACACCTAGCCTGTTACTAATCGCTTTGCTTTTATTGAGAATTACCGCAACACGACTTTTAAAGTCTATTAATCATGTTTTAAATAGGAAGTAATGTATTAACCAACTTATACTAAAAAGAAAAACTGGACAAAGGCTGGTGAAGGCACGGCAAAGCTCTACAACACTGTTGTCATGTTGTCAGAAGTGCTTGTTAGAAAAATAACATTGAAAATAATTTAAAGAAAATTAACTCCAGTAAATCTGGTAACAAAAGAATGATACAGAATGGTAGAGCTACAGTAATGGGCTACAATATTAACATTGTTTTCTCTTCTTGTTTCCATCAAGCATCAAGATGGTTCTGATGTGGACCAGTGGTGACACCTTTAAAACGGGGTACTTCCTCCTCACCCAGGCTCCGGTGCAGTTCTGGATTTGCGGCCTGCTGCAGGTCTTCGTGGACATCACCATCCTCTTCCAGGTTTACTACTACAGCCGCTACCCGCAGAAACCAGTGTCACACACAGTTTCTCACACCACCAGTGCCAAAGCCCTCTGAGAACATCGGCATAATCTCTGAGGACACTACAAAGCAGCAGCGAGGAAGGCCTTATCGAGGCACTGTGGAAATGTATAAACACACACGCACCAAAGCATCTTGAGATGATGTAGGCTGCTGCTCCCCCTCACCTCCTAGTATAAATGAAGACTCCAACGCACTCATAAATAAGGCAAAGATACACAGACACCAGGTGGTGGCAATGTCTCCAGTGATACCCGAAGGACACTTGTTACACACAACGTCAGCCTGTTTTATTTATTGTCCTCTTGACTTATCAAAGCAGCCCAATGCATGCTAATAGGAATGCAAACGTCTCTGAGAATACACCTTGAGTCATCCTGTGCATGTGGAGAATATTATGCACACACAGCACATGAACATCCAGCGTATGCAAACTGCAGATGCACGCACTGAAATCAGTGCTCAAGGAAAAGTGGACCAGCTTGTGTCGTCCTCAAGATGAATGTTGCTTGGAACTTCTGCCTTAAAGCACCCACATTTTCAACATGGATTGCTGCATTGCCAGTAATGTGTTACAAATCAATCAAAACAAAAAAAAAGAAATGTTAATATACAGCATTGCTGAATGTACATTTGTTGTTGTTTTTTCCCAACACAGTGGAGGAATGCCAGTCAGTCTCCTGCTTGTTGGGCGACATATGCTGTCATACTCAATCTTGCACGACAAAAATACAGAAAAGCAAAGTCACCAAATGAAGAAAACTCCTCACGTTTGGTCATGAATGTGAGTGGCCTTGAGACTAGCAAAAAGTTGAGCGACTTAGCCTTTGTAAGCAAATGCCAAGACTTTTATACTAAAGCCCTTGACGACATTTTATATATATTTCCATCATTTCCAAAACGTCCTAAATAAATGCTCAAAGATGTGTTAACATCATTAAACTTATCCTGCGAGCCTACAACTGCGCTTCATAAAGGTAAAGGAATAATTTAAGCTGCCAGCATGATGCAGCCAATTTTCTATGTGTGGGACTAGCAGCTGAATCATAGCTCGAGGCGCTAGTTTAGCTTCGCGTTCAGTCTGAACTCATCTTTATGATGACGACCGCATTTAAAGTCGCATCATGGGCTTAATTTAGTGATGTTTGCGGCTTCTGTTTCATTTTGAACATCATCCTACATTCATGCTATAACTGCAGGATAACAAGAAGCTGTTTTTCTGTCCTGAATTGGATCATGTTTTATTCTAAGGCCTCGTGACAGCTTTGCATTCACCACAATAGACTAGATTTTCTGTTTCTGTTGTGTTGCAAGCAAGTCTCGCCAACTGACGGCCAGAAGCTGAGCGCTCTAAAGCTTTTTCAAATTATATTATTTTTACATTTGCTTGCAGCTTGATGCCAATATTTCACTGAGACTTGTGTGACAAAAAACAAACAAGTGCACTCAGAAAGCGCAGCTCCCTCCGAAGAGCAAGGGCTAAAATGTTTTTATTACAATATGCTGACGTCAGCCTGTTACGGTATTGTTGTGAGGTGTTATAGTGAAAGAAATATGTGTGTTATACAGCTTTCTCCATGTCTTTTTATGTGATAAAGTATGATATGGTTTCAAGAAACTGGAATCTGGAGCGGGCACATCCTCTTACAGCACCACGTTCAAATTCATCAAGCTCTTTAGACCGATCCATTCTTTTACAAACATGTGTAAAAGCACACGGCGTGGATAGGTGTTTGATTTTATACACCTGTGGTAATGGCACTGAACACACTCGAATTCAAACGTTACTTTTGTCCATATCGTCTATCTTGCTGTGGCATTGAGATCCATCGATCTGCGCTAGACTGTGATTGTATAAAAAAGACAAACTTTGTTGAGTTTGATGATGACCACTATCAGGAGGCTGCTGCTAGAAATGCTCTGCTGCTGCTTGGTTCCTTCCTGAAATCAGAATCATGGATGCCCTAAAGTGGCTCGTGATGCTGTGCCACTCCTAATTGTACAATCATAATCCATAACATATCTAAAAACTGAGCTACATCAATCCCACATAGCAAAATTGGTATGGCCCAGATCTGGCCCACACAATGGGCTTACACATGGCCCACATACCGCAGAGAATGACGGCCCTTTGGTTTGCCAGAGGTGGCACACATGGGCCAGCACAAGGCCAGTTGCAGACACACTGGTGGTCCTGTGCCAAAGGGCCGTCATTCTTTGCGCTATGTTGGCCATGTGTAAGTTGTGTGCAGCCACAGGCCAGTTGCAGACACACTGTCAAGCCATGTAATAACAACATGTGCTGGAACATGGTAGCATGAAAAGAAATATGACAAAACTCTGTTCATACAGTGAATGGACTAATTCTGATATAGAGCTTTTCTACTTTCCCGGATTACTCATAGTGCTCTATACAACATGACGCATTCACTCTGCCATGACACCAGTTAGTCAGAAGTGCCAGCTTGATGCCGGATCCAGGGAAGACCTGTTTTCTATGAGCCTGGGCCACATACACCAAACCACAATCGGGCCAGATGTGGCATGCCATCACATAAATAGTGCCATCTACACCAGGCCTGGCCCATATCTGAATGACATACCACTTACTATGCCAGAAGTCAGCCAGCAGTGCCGGCTTGACACCAGATCTGGCCCAGACCTGTCTGCTATGTGGGATGATTTTAAGCCATTCTGAAATAAACCAACAATGACATAGAGCTTCATAGAGCCCCATTCATTCTAAATTATTTCACAAGTAGTCCCTATGAAACCAGAGCTCCCATGAATGGGAGTTCTCAGTGTTATTAGAATTTTTTCTTTTTTAAATGTTCGGGATTGACCAGTAAGTGTAAGTGCACAAACATCATTTCGCTCCTTACAGCAATAATAACGTTAAATACATTTTATGAAAAGGTTTTTATGCAGGACCAAGTCGATATGTTCTGTGAGCGGTGTTGTTCACAAAGCCCAAGCTGTAATAAACTGGAATTATGCCTTAAAGAGATGAACTTCACAGACTCACAGTTCAGAATTTGCTCAGCTAAGATCGTACCTCTTCCTCATATTGGCTGCAGAAAGCACTGACTGGCCAGTTTATCATTTATGACAAATCCAATAACATCCTTTAATATCCCCCCTGCTCATGACCCCACATCATTGTGAGGTCCTCTGTGAGGGCAGGTTCTACTCATCGTTTTGTCATATGAAATTCATTTCCTGTTAAACGCAGAGGCAGCCATATGATTTTTTTTCTTTGTGTTACTGTTGTTGTTTTGTCATTTCTCTCTGAGGAGGAATGCCAGACCATAAGGTGCACGACTGTCAGCCCTTCAGTGACCTGTGTACCACAGCAGACCTGTCCTCGTCTTCAAAAAGAACAAAACTGCAACAAAAATAAATCTTTGTGTTCTGCCGAGAAACGGCTATTCTCTGCTTCTTCTTTTTATAAACACGTTGGGTGAGAATCGGGTACTGAGGGATCGGTGGGGGTATTTTTTTATGTTTACATCTTTTTAGCTTACGTATTTATTTTGTCCTTTTTTATATTAACTCTTCAGGTGCCAGTGTAAGATTGCCTGTTCTCTGTCCCGACAGTGCTGAGCCCGAGTGTGTTGTGTGAGTTAATGTGAGATACCTGACAGGGTCCTGTTGTGCGAAACAAGATTAAACTGACCTCGGAGTTCCACTTCTGTGACTGTTTCACTGCACGTGATGATTTATCTTTGTTTGCTCCGTGTTTTGTATCTTTTTGCTCATTTGTCATGTGAACGTGTTTTCATGTTTTTGTTTGTTACTATACCAAAAATATCATTCTGTAAGTATGTTTATTATGTGTTTTTGTTTTTTTTACCCTAGTACAGCGATTTATGTCTCTATTTTTTTTATCCATTTTCCTTTTAAACTGGCCACACACCTGTAGTTCCTGAGGCTGTTTAAACCCACCCAGTATTGTCAAGCATTTAATGTGGCGTTGTCCCCCAATAAAAAGGACTCAGACAAACTCTTGCGCCATGTCTTTACTTATTGTTTTTTTTCCCTTTTGATGGAGATGTTTTTGGGACTTGTGACAACATCCGTCGTTGCTCTGATCAACAGTGTCGCTCTGGCAGGCATCAGTTGTCAAAGGAGGTGTAAGCCCACCAGCCGTGGTCCTTCTTTGGGCTTTGGGCACATGCCATCTGAAGCAATAATAAAAACATAAATCGTAATGTGCTTGGCTTTCCACACGGAGCTCTCTGCAGGCACAGAGAGGAGGCACAACAAAGATAAGAGTCACCAAACAAAAAAGGATCAAAAAGATGGATTTGAAAAAATGTTTTCTAATCCAGATTCACATTCAAAATGTGTTCCTATTTATGCCTTTCACTGCACCACATATGTCTCTCATAGATTAGGCCTGATTCATGCACACACACATATGTATTGTATATATAAACTGAAATGACACATGGACCATAACTGACAGAAATGTGTTTGAAACTTATCTAATTTAAACTCAAAGGTCAGGACCTCATACACACAGGCCTGGAAATAAAATTCTTTGTTTTCAGTGCCTCTGGAATTTGAGTGAATGTGAGAGAAAGAGGCTTCCCTTTGTGATAAATACTGAAAACATACGAGGCACTCACTTTTGAAACTCCTCTAGGGCCTTGTGTTGTGAACGTTGTCGCATCAAACCTCTTCACAAGTGCACCGCTGCGTCAAACCGCCACAGACAGGTGGCTTCTTACCAGGGTACTCCTCTAAGATTCAGTTTATCTGCATGGAATGAATATATTTTAAATAAAGTGACTGCGCTGCTTCACAGAGAGCCACTCAAGAGCTTTTTGAATGTGAGTGGTGGTGTTCACAAGCAGCATGGCTATTGTTCAGTGCTGGAGATAACAATTGGCCCAGGTATTAGAATGCCTATAGAGCAGTAATAGGAAATAAAGTGGGCCAATTATGGTTTCCTATACTGTTACAGTGGTAGATACTCATTTCAAACAAAATGACAAAAATTGAGGTTTGCCTACTGACAAGTTGTCCATATTAGCTGCAATCTCAACTGTCAGACTGCTTTAAAGGCACTGTTTCCAACCGTTTCTGTTCTATTAGACTATTAGCTATAGATTATAGTTTTTATAGATCTAAAATATGGATTGGACATCACTGTGACATCACCCATTAGTTTTGAAGCTTCTACTTTAGTGTTTTGACCACAGTCATGTCAAATTTTTTTGGACTGATGAAAGGTGGAATGCTAATTTATCAGTTAATGTTAGCTAGCTTGTTAGCAAGCTGTATTCTTGAACGGTATCAGTGCAGCACACAGAAAGCACCAGGCTAATAAAACATGAGAATTTTACTCACCAAAACTGAAGCCCAAATTTCTGGGATGGTCAGTTAACAAGACAATCGGTCATGTAGTAGCTCGTCCGCAATCGCTCTCAATTCACAGGTTATTACAACCAACTGGTTAAACTACAGGAATGTTTATGAGACATAAACCCCTGATTGACCTCTAATTTCCTACTTCTAATTTCAGACAAACCTGAGGATATTATGTTAAGCTTTATAGTTTGTCTTGCATATAAACACAACCATATCCATAATCACATACTGTGTATGCTACCATTGTATATAGTGTATTATCTTACTTATATTATATATGTATGTATTTTATTTTTATTTTTTTGTATTTTCCTTCTGATATCTGTACCTGAGCTGAGGTAACGCAAAAATTTCCCTGTCGTGGGATCAATAAAGTCTCATCTTATCTTATCTTATTACCTTGGCCTCCAGTAACACTGTGAGAAATATTGGAACCATTTTTAATGTGCATATCAAACTATGTAGGACTGCTTTCTTCAATTTACACAATATCTCTAAAAGTAGACACATCCTGTTTCAGAATGATCCCATAAAACTAGTGCATTTATAACGTCTTGCTGGACTACTGTAATTTATTATTATCAGGCTGTCCCAAAATTCCCTAAAAAGCCTTCAGCTGATCCAGAATCTTACAGTGAGTACAGACAGGGACAAGAAAGAGTATATTTTGCACATATTGGCTCCTCTTTGCTGGCCACCTGTTAAATCCAGAAACAACTTTAAAATCATTGTCCTAAATTAAAAAATCTTAAAGAGCTCATAGTACTGTATCACCCCAATAGAGGACTTTGCACCTCACACCACAGGCTTACTTGTGGTTCCTAGAGTATTTAAAAGTAAAATGGGAGGCAGAGCCTTCAGCCCTCACAAGAGGCCCCTCCAGCGCTGGGTGGGGGGGCCTTTTGTAAATTTTTGCCCCTGCCCCAACAGATTCTAGAATCACCAACTGGCTGCACTGTAAGACGAATAAATCCATTGAAAATGATGAACATGACCTCGCCATTGACCGTGAGCACACTATGAGTGACGACCCATTGGGTGATTATTGTGTGCAACTTTGATTAGAGCGATCCTTGAGGCGTGTTGACTTTTGACCAGGATATTTCCTTCAACGCACATATTAAACAAATATGCAAGATTGCTTTCTTCCATTTGCGCAACATCTCTAAAGTTAGAAATATCCTGTCTCAGAGTGACGCTGAAAAACTAGTTCATGCATTTATTACTTCCAGGCTGGACTACTGTAATTCATTATTATCAGGATGTCCAAAAAAACTCACTGAAAAGCCTTCAGCTAATCCAAAATGCTGCAGCAAGAGTCCTGACAGGGACTAGAAAGAGCGAGCATATTTCTCCTGTTTTGGCTTCCCTTCATTGGCTTCCTGTTAAAATGAATTCAAAATCCTGCTCCTCACATACAAGGTCTTAAATAATCAGGCCCCATCTTATCTTAATGACCTTGTAGTACCATATCACCCTATTAGAGCACTTCGCTCTCACTCTGCAGGGCTACTTGTTGTTCCTAGAGTATTTAAAAGTAGAATGGGAGGGAGAGCCTTCAGTTTTCCGGCCCCTCTTCTGTGGAACCAGCTTCCAGTTTGGATTCGGGAGACAGACACTTTCTCTACTTTTAAGATTAGGCTTAAAACTTTCCTTTTTGCTAAAGCATATAGTTAGGGCTGGACCAGGTGACCCTGAATCCTCCCTTAGTTATGCTGCAATAGACGTAGGCT